TATTCTATCAAAGATTACAATCAAAATTTAAATTAGCTTTGATAGATTGTAGGTATATTTATGTGTGATCACGTTTAATTTTCCATAATCTTACAGACAAGCCTCATAAATTCGTAATGATAAAGAAATTATGTGACTATCAATGTTTTTACATAACTAAGAGATAAGAAAACACACGACAAGACTGAAACAAAAAAGCGCTTGCTTATACATATTATGTTTAAATTTATGTTGTATAAATTCTGCTTCAGGATGAAGAAACTTTTGCCGGACTCGACGGCGGAGGGCGCGCATCGATGAACCAGTCAGCCTTTGACTACGGCCTACGGAACAGTGTCGAAACGACAGGCATTTATAATAATATTATAATATAATATATATAGTTTAAAAGTTAGTAGCGCTTCCTAATGCCAAGAAACATTGAAAAACATGCATGCATCTCGTGCAGCTCTGAGATCCATGTTCATTGATGTTCTAATTCCAATTTTACCAGCTTTAAATTTTATTTCCCTTATTGACATATTATTGTAGCGATCACTAGATTTGAAAGGGGAATGTCAAAAGCAATGCTAGGGGTTCTCTGTACTAATATTGGAAGAAAATTAATAAAGCTATTTTAGAGTCTTCAAAACCGACAGGGGACGTAACCGCCCTGCAGGCACTACGTTGGGCCCCTTATTTTCTCTGTCAATACAAATATTGATAAATCATTACCCACGTTCTCTTTTTCATTCAAGTGAACACATTTTTCCTTTTGATGAATCTTAAAGAAAATTACTTTCGATTCATTCGTTACATTTTAGTCTACTTATTCTTTCTTAGAACAAATGTGTTTCTCTGAGAGTGTTATTCATATTAGCCCTCAGGTGTATGGACAAAACGACATTGTCATTTGAGTTTGTTTTTTCGATCCTCTAAAAATATACACTTGATTTTTTTCTGCAATCTTAAGTATTCATTAGTAACAAAGGGAGGCTAAATATTTTCTCACGATGGTAGTAAGTTGTCTAACTATTAATACAAGTCTTATCCTAGTATGAGAGAGGTTGTCATCTTTCATCGTCATCATCGTCACGGGTGGCCCTAGATAAGACGGAGGCCCTGTTATTTCATGGGCCCCGTCGTGGTCCACCCCCTGGCGCCTCAATCGTGGTCAACTCCGTCCTCGTACCGGTTCGGGCCCAGATGAAATATCTGGGCCTGATCCTCGACGGGAGGTGGCTCTTCGACGAGCACTTCCGACAGCTTGCTCCAAAGCTGGTCGGCGCTGCGTCTGCCCTAGGGCGACTTTTGCCCAATTTGGGTGGACCCAGCGTCGCGACAAGACGGCTGTACACGGGGGTTGTCCGGTCAATGGCACTATACGGTGCACCGGTGTGGGCAGGGCGGCTTACCTTCCGGCTGACGCAGGTGCTTTCCGGGCACGGTTGCTTCGGAAAGTACCTGCACTCGGTCGCTAGGAGGGAATTGAGTCCCGCCTGCCAACACTGCGACTGCAGTGAGGACTCGGCCCAGCACACACTGGCGGTCTGCCCCGCATGGGCGACGCAGCGCCGGGCCCTCACTGCAGTCATCGGAGTGGATCTCTCGCTACCGGCCGTAGTACGCTCCATGGCCGGTAGCGACAGTTGTTTTACCGCGGTCGCAACCTTCTGCGAGGAAGTAATCTCGCAGAAGGAGGCGGCGGAGAAGGCCCGGGAGGACGACCTCCACTCGGACCCGATACGCCGCCGGCGAACCGGGCGGCGGAGGCGCACTTATCACCGCCTCATGCCGCCCTGAGTGTGGCCGCGGGTGGACGGGGTGGGTTTCCCCTCCACCCGCATTAGTTTGGCCAGCCGCGAGGGGGCGGCGTCCGCGTGTGCCGGACGTCGCCTAAAGAGAGGAAAATTTTGAGACGGAGCCCGCACCAGGAGCGGGCTGGCGCTAGGAGGGGTCCGGATGTGTTAATAACAGCTGTTATTAAGACCCTGTTACAGGCGCAGAGTGGCTTCGGATTTGATGACTTAATGCTAGCATAAAAAACATTTAAAAAGATGTCTCCCTCAACTTAGCGCTTATTCTCATGATACGTAGGTTGAGATTGCTATAAAATATTTCGCGACATAAAAGGTATTCTGTTTCTTTAACTAAAACATATAAATAACACTTACCTACAAGACGATGAACTTTAATTCTGAGGCATAATTAATCTTTATGTTTTAAAAAATCCAATGTCTTTGACTCTCAGTTTAATTATAAAGCCGATTCATTGTCTTTGTTTAAATCGGTATAGTCAATATTTGTCAAGACCTAATAATATAAAAACAATTTCATTACAAAATACTCGTCAGAGGCGACAGTCAATATTTACGTTTCAAAATCACGTTGAGTCGATCTACACACAAATTTCCATCCATGTTATAATAATATCTTTGGACATCTAACATCCAACGCCATCTTGTTTCAAACTAAGCAGAGCTTGTACCTACTATGAAAGCTAGATTGACTGTTAGAATACTTTTTTTTTTAATACATACATATATACATACAAAACACCTAAACTCCGAAACAAATATTTACAGATCATACAAATATTTTGTCGGACCCAGTAATCGAACCCAAGACCTCAGCACCGAGGCAGTCAATTATACTTGAAGTTATTTATAGAATCACTGTTGATTTATCTAATTGCAGGTTAGGGAAGAAAAGATACAACACAATTTTTTAAGCCTCGAGCACATTAGTGGAGCGCCAATTATCCAGGTGTTGAGGATGAAAATTTTCCCGTGATGAACGATGACAGAAAGTTGCGGCTGGTATTAGTCCGAACAATTCCTCCGCGATATGCGATTGATAATGCAGAGTGAAGCGACATCTCTACGTAACGCCAAGGGATCGAGCCGATCGGAGATGTGTGGGCTATCGACATGAGATTTGAAAAAAAAATGATTTGGACTCATAAAGATTTACTATTATAATATTTAAACACGAATAGTGTGGTATCAAAACTAAATAAATAAAAATATGTTACTCCAATCTATTATTTATTAAATCTTTGGCTATCTGTTTGTACATCATAATCTACGATTCACGTAAAAACATATATCTACACATTATTTCCATCAAAATGTTTATATATCAAGTTACAACCTTAGGTTTCAAAATGATGTATGCATATACTGGTAACCATTAAGTGAGATACTAAAGATAAACTATTGAACATTGAACAAAAATGCGACTGTATCCATTTTGTTGTATAAACTTTATACATTTGTATTACATTTTTTTTCACATCTTAACTATACTAGAAGACTTAACATCACAAGTTGTTTATCTTAATTCCTTAATATAATGACACAAGTAAATATTCAATAAAACACCTTTGTGACAATATTCATAGTCATAGTATATATAACAAAATGCTGCTACTATATTTTTTTTATCAAATCAGATGGAAATAACATTATACAGCGATGGAGTGTTGTTCTTATGAATGCTCCAAGATACAATACAAAATTAAATATTTGGCACTTTAGTATACAGCTCATTACGCGTTAATTGCTTATTTTGTTTATAGTTACAAGGTTTAAAGGGAAGACATGATTTGCTTTCGCCATTTTTGCGCAAAACATTACTCGGCTACATAGAAATAACCACTCAACCTACTACAAATTTCCAAACTCCACGCATCTCGATATGGTGGCTTAGTATTACGTATTGCGATATTATATTACATCACGTTGTCGCCTAACCACAAAAAGCCCTTAAGTACGGCGTATTAGATGAAATGTAGCTAGGTTAGAAATCTAAATTAAAATCACAAATCTACTACAATTTACATAAAAATATGTCTATAAGTATGTCTATGCTCGTAATAAAGTCAACGAAATAATTTATTTACATATTAGTTATACAACAACGCGTATTCCCGCTGCCCAGTTATCCAATCTATTTGTACTTATTTCATAAAAAAATATGTACGTCCATTATATCACAAAACGCCGTCCATCCCTCGCAGCCGACCGCTTCGAACTGCAACAAACATTGAATCGTTTTTAACATTGTGTAAACCTTTTTATGATCAAATGAGAATAATGATTGAAATGAATACAACTATATACATTCCGATTATATTAATGCACATGTAAATATATTTTAAATTATTTTTTTACAATAATCATAGCCAAGCTTTTAAAAGCCCATAACTCGAATTTTTTAACGAATTTTCGTTCTTAGCAAACAGATTTACTTCTAAAAAACATTTCATTAAATTATAATATTAATACGAGAAAATATGTATTGAAAAAGTTAAAAAAAAACTGTGTTTATTTAGAAATAACTTTCACCTGCAACTTCTCTCGTGTTTTCGTAAATTCTGTCCACCCGAATGTAACATTAATATTCTATCCCCCAGGAACAGTATTAATATATATATCACTGCTACTAACAAATCTATTTAAATAAAAATGAATCGCCGAAATGTATGTACGCACCAAATTGGATCATTCTTTTTTTGTAAGTTATTGTCAGGACAAGGTTTGTATAAAAGAAAATTTGAAACAAATCAAACAGTTTCTTTTTTTTTAATCTCATACCTAATATGAAAAGTCAGTGAATGAGACAGAGAACTGATTAATATTATAAAGAGGTAAAGTCAAAGGCACTGCGGGTTCGAATTGAAAAATTATTTTATTGTTCTATAGCCCTTTTATCGGCCTATATAACATCAGACTACGACCAATAGGAGCCGAGTATCAATAAAAATGTTGCGAAAACGGAAAAAAAATACTCCTTTAGAGAGAAGCAGACGAAGTTAGGCGGGTCAGATAGTTATTAATAAATTTTAACTAATTAGATACTGTTTTTTTTATCAGTTATGGCATGAAAACGTAATCAATAAGCCAACTCACATTCGATTTTTAATAGTGGATAAATCTCAAGATAACTTACTTTTATGTTTAGTGCTACGTCAAGAGAGAATCATATTCGAAAGGCGTCGGGTCGGCTGCCCGCAGGTGTCACCACAACACCCCTCCGGATATATTCGACACTTCTATTTGGTCCTCGGCTTCTGAGTCGACGACGCGTACAGTTCTTCTTTTATGCCTCAGTCGAAAGCTAATCCATAGTACCAAAGACATTAGGATTAGGGTTGATACTGCTACTGTCCCTATATATTGTGCGTAATTACTATCAGCTGATCGGTAGGGTGAGTATTCTGTTTTGTAACTGGGATTAGTGGTATCTACTTCAGAGGCAGTTACGTTTTCTACTTGATTCAAGCTTTTAGCAGGTAAAACACTAATCTTAGCTTCGGTGGTAAAGTTTTCTGTTTTTTTAGTCACATTTAATGGCGTGTTCAAGCGTTTTCCAGATCTGGATCTATTTTTTCTAAGAATTTCTCTATCTTTTACTAATTTGTTTTCATTTTGAGACGACACAGAAACAAATGGCTCTATATCTAAAAATTTATGATCAATATTAAGCTGATCATTTTGAATTTTGTTTTGATCCAAAATTTTAGAAGATTCTCTCGCTTTAACAAAAGCGGTTTCATTACCGTAGTCATTAAAAGATATTTTATTTTCATTTCTTTCATTTCTTTTCATTCCTTCTTTTATCCCATCATATAGATTAATGTTTTTCTCTTGATTTCTGACACTTGTTTCATTTAATTGAATTTGACTATTAACATTTATGATATCGTACTTATTCTTGTTATTGCTGTGCTTATAGAAAGGTTTCTCTGTTTTGTTGTTTAGATAGCCATAGTATCTCAGTAATTTGTTAATCATTTCTGTACTATATAAATTAACTGGTGGAAGGCTATCACTTATTGTGAATGTTTCAGGAAATGTACAATTATATTTAGTTATCTCAGCTTTAGCCTCAGACGTGGAAAAGTAGCAGGTCTCACTGTTAGATAAGCTCTTATTCCAATTCATCCAGTCCTTCAGCCACAACTCAGCGCTACAATTTACATTATTACCATGCAGTCTTAACGTTTTTAGTTGTACTAAATAGAATAACAAGTCATTCCTAATTTCTGACAGATTGTTCATTCGTAAGTCCAAATATTGTAAATGAGAAAAAGCGGCTAACGCTGCTGAGTCCGCTAAAAGTTGTCTGGCTAATCCGGGACTCGACTGGAGATGTAGCATTTGTACGCTTTCAGGCGACGACATTGGAAACGAGACATCTTGCTCGGGTACCGAAAGGTTTAAGTAACATAGTCTTAGATCTCGTAGAGATAATGGCCCGTCAAATGTACTCCAAGACAGTGACTGTATTGGATTATTTGATAAGTCTAACATCTCCAATGAAAGTAAGTCATCAAATATGTGATCTTGAATATACTGAATGTGGTTATTTTGCAACATCAATATTCGCAGATTTGGCAAGCCCTTGAAATCAGGAATAGACAACTTTTTTATCAAATTATTTTTAATTGATAAGTACTTCAACTCATCTGGTAGAGATTTGGGGACTGTTACAAGAAGGTTTTTGTTTATATTTAGCAATAATAGCATCTCCAATCTGCCTAAGGAATCATCTTCAATTGAAACTACTTTATTATCTGAAAAATCTAGTGACTGTAACAGTGGATAACTGTCGAAATCCCCACATCTGACTGCAGATATTTTATTTCCAACCAAAGATAAAAAACGAACAGAGTGTGTGAATGCTTCAGGCACTTGATATAAGCCCGTTCTTGATGCATCTATTTGTTGCAATCTTCGTCCAGTGCCAACCAATAATTGTGTATCCAATTGTGTGATGCCCAAATGGGGATTATCGGTCAATAATAATCGTGCTAGATTTGGCAACAACTGTAAAGCGCCTGGAGCTAACTTTTTTAGATTGTTATGAGATACATCGAGATGCTGCAGTAACCAATTATTAAAATAATTTTCGTGAATAAATTCGAGGTTATTCCTACTTAAATTGAGATGTTGCAGATTTTTCAGAGGTGTAAAAACATTAGTTAGGGTGGTCAAATTATTTTCTGACAAATCCAAAGTTTCGAGTTTCAATAATCCATGGAAACTTTCTTCAAAAATATTGACGATGTTATTTTTACTCAGAATAAGTTTTCGGAGATTCAGGAAGTTATTAAAAATTCCTTTCCTTACGTATTGTAACTTATTAGAAGATATATCGATTTCTCTCAAATTTATTTTTTTAACATTGATCTTTATATGTCCAAAGTTACTGTTTCTAATATTAATTGAATAAGTATCTAGAAACGCTAGGTCAAAGTTAAGTGTACTCGCATTACAGGCTGTATCATAACGGATTTTAACTTCAACTAGAGTCTTATTTAAGTACTCCTGAGACCACGCTGATAACTTTTTCTCTTCATTACAACACACAGATAGTTGATGACGTACGTTTGCATTTTCTTTCAAAGTAATATTGTAGGAACATTGTTGACAATCGTTTGTATTGAAGTTACACATACAATTAGCTAGACATACTGAAGCTAAATTTGTTACTTGCCATGAAAATATAACCGTTAAAAATAAGCACTGTTTAAAAAATGTTGCCATTTCTGACAGAATCTTCCGACTCGTACTAGGCTTATTATGCTGGTCTGAATATTGAATGGTATTGAACTTTACACGTACTACACATGTTCATTTGAATCACATTATCACTCATAAATTGTATTGTTGTAAACATAAACATCTTGTGTTATTTAACACTCACACAATCACTCACGTAAGTCGTCGTTTCAGTCACTTTACTGTCACTCATAGTGACTAGAAACACATTTCAGTTTTAGTCAGCAGCTCTTATCGAACTCAAAATCAGAACGTATAGGAGCACGAGTGACGGTAGGTGTGCCACGTGACAGTGGTCCGAGCCGTTTCGTGTCGTTTATTGTGTTGTATTCGTAAGGTGTCGAAGCTCGGGCGCTGAAGCGTCACGCGGCGGTACTGGCGCCACCGGGTCTGGCCGCGAACTGTGCGAAGCGAGGGCGAGAGGCGCAGCGCCGGCGCTCTGCCGCCCGCCGCTTTTACATCCCTCACAACCTCATTTTTATATAGTCAACTGACTTCCACACCACCACTATTTATGTCATACTCGGCGCTCCTTAATACGTTATTTTGAGGACGCTAGTATTTCTAAGTGTGTGTTATATTTTTAGTTGTGTTATATTTTTTCCTTCGTCTCAGATTGCTCTCTGGCAAGCATTCTTGTTAGTTTAAAAGACAAATATATATTTTTTTCCTATTTCTTGGAGATTTTATAAACTTGTAATTTGAATGTTCAACATGAAGCAAACTGTAGCTTAAGTAGATACAGTTAAATGTATGTAGATGATGTACGCGGTGAATTAAATTCCTCAGTTTATTATTAAAGAAAACAATTGTTAGATAACATACTTTCCTCGTTCTAAAATCATTGTAAGGATGACCATACTCTAAATAAATAGGCTACTCATTTAGGCAATGCTTACCACTCATAAAAGAAGCAACTAACAGATATGGAGCTATTTACTACATTGATGACAAACAACTTGTATAATGACGTTTTGTGCCTCTGGTACCAAGCTAAAGGTGATTTCACTCACTCACTGCATAAATACATTGTACATAAATCTTTGACACATTTATTGAACAAACCTTTATATGCTACCTATTTATTTTTATTTTATATTATGAACCAACATGAACAGTTTAGTTTTCTCAAACTTCTATCACGACTAAAGTATTTAATTACCTAAAAAAAGTCTTTACAGATGTAGAGAACAACTGTTCTGTATTCAATCTGTGATGAACACAGAACAACTGTGTTCATCACAGATCGAATACCCTCTAGGAAAGTTCCTTTAATCTATAAAAGATTGTGATTAAATAGGATTTCTAGCACAGTGCTGTTTTTATACTGTCATTAGGTTCAATTAACAGCCCTTGTGCAGAGGGACAGTAAAACAAGGCCGAGCACCTTTGTTTTATTTGGGGTTTTTTTTACAGATAATTATATAACTACTTTTGCTTGTTAATGCTGTTTAACATCTAGGTTAATAAGAAAACGACACTTGAACTAAAATATGACGTAAAAAGCCTCACTTGTCACCCTCAGGACGGAGGTCGCTCTGCGACCTCCGGCGCCCGAGCCGTCTCCGGTACCTGGCCCGTTCTCGGGCCTGGCGAGCCGGGAGAGTTCTGAACCTCTCCCGGTCTCGCTCCGCCATCTCCTTCGTAAGCATAACCTGCTCGCAGAAGGAGACAGCGGAGTTCCACGCACTCTCGCTCCGCACTATGGCCGCCTTTCAGCTGGCCCCTGACATTTGCGCCAACAGTTAGAAGTTACGAAACGTACACAGATAGATCGCAACACAATAAACATAAAGTCTAAAAAAAAAACAACACTGAATGTATAACACGATTTCGACTTTCGATTTTCGACTAGAACAAAACAAAAAAGTATAAATACTTTTTTGTTTTGTAACAAACAAAAAAGTATTTATTTCTTCATATTTGAATGGATCTAAAGCGGAAATATACCCTTCCAAATAAAAAAGATTTTGCCAAATCGGTTTACAAATGAAAGTTTTGAGGTAACAAACATGAAAATACTTGCGTAACAAACTTTTTTTTGTCTAAATGTTTTGTAATCTCATTTATTACTCTCTTGTACACATATTTCTGTAACCCAACACAAACACCTAATAAATATCTTGAAAGAATACAACAAGGTCAATACATGATTATATTATTAAAAGACTTATTCTCTAACTCCTGAGGACAAGGTCAAGGTCTTCCATCTTCAGCAACATGAGATAACGACTACCAAAACGCAAAAAAAAAGTAAAATTTGAGGCTTTCCCTCGATTTCTCTGAGATTCCATAGTCAGATCTTGATTTGGTGAGAATGGGACCACCTCGTGAGTATACCCTTTCGATTACAAAAATATTTTTTTAATCGGTCCATAATCGACGGAGATATTGCGTAACAAACATACAAAAAAAACATATAGACGAATTGAGAACCTCCTCTTTTGTGTTTTTGAACTCGGTTAAAAATATTGTTTGTCGGTTTTTTATATTTTTCATACCTCATCTACGAGTACAATATTACGTAGTAGTTATGATGTTGACAATATTTCTCAATTTCGATATTATTTAAATCTCCTTAATGGTCGAAATATTAGGTCTTTACCTATGAAGTAAAAATCTTGGTATTTTTATATTTTAGCTAATCAAAGTACTACACAATTTTGCTGTTTTGATAGGAATTTCTAGAAGTTTTTACTGTAGAAGTCTGCTGGACGGGAGGCGATGAAGTCAGCGAAGGCGTTTTGTACTGCCTGTTGATGAATTTTTTCGGTGTTGTCTCGAGTTTTAAATTTTTTCTAACTTAAACAATTATCTAAAGAAAAAAAAAGTTGAAATCTGTTAGGGCAAGTACCGGTGAGTACGGTGAGTACGGTTCGGTTGAATTGCGAATTGAATCTAACTTTTATATGTTTCCGATTATTCGCAAGTGCTACAATGTTGTGCAAGCTCAGCCGTAGATTGAGTATGACCCGCTTCCAATATCGCCTTTAATTCCTCGTTGTCAACTATAGTTACAGGCAAAATTTTCAATCTAAAACGATTGAACCACCGGACCGTGTTCATGCAAGCAGTGTTAGGCCCGTATACTTCGTTAATGTTTCGTATTGTTTGCGCAGCGATATTTCCACGTAGGAACTCATATTTGAAAATTGTACGAATTTTCAGTTGATCCATTATATATAATTAAAAAATTGAAACAACGTGGCTTCAAATTAAATTTATTTGAATTTCAAATTGCGCGCCAATACACATACAGTTAAATCTGAAAATCCGGGTTTTAAAAATTTCCGACTTTATAGTGAAAGACCTATTAGTTAGTAACCAACATTTAAAGCTTATAACTATATGTAAAATCTCTGTGTCAAGGGATTGCATTGTTTGTGATTTAAAAAAAACATATTTTCAAATAGAAAACATATGATTTGGGCGCCTATCCAATATGTAAGCCAGCTTGTGACATGTGAACCTCCACGAACACCGAAGCATGGTGTATAAAAAGCCGTCGAAGTCTGTACCTTTTCATTCAACCCTTTATTCGTACTGTTTCGAGCATCTTTACCGGAACATTCTACCAGCATTTTCATGAATTGCTCCCACAAGGCTTTCCGAAGGGTCTGTTTATTGCGCTCCTTAATTTGGGTTATTTGAACTTTTCTTGTCCCTTCCTGAATGTATTGAGGACGAAAACATCGTATTTCAACCACCTTTAATATGTTAGATGTTGGCTGCACCTAATGCCAGATTTATGACTTTTTTTGTAAACCCTGACTTACTACTGTTAAAGAGAAACCGTTTCAATATAACGTTATACAACTTTTTTTGGTACATATGTTTGATGTATATTTAAACGTAATTAGTCAGTTTTTTTTAAGTTTTGCGTCTTTTAGATTCACTGATCGTGGTCACCGGTGCAGTTCTATTGGAGCGTCTGGTGATCACTAAGTGTCACAGCCATCTAAAGTGTTGACTAGATGTCTTGAAACATGAATGAAAATGAATTGTAATATTCCTTCAGGCCTATGACCTAAGCAAGCTAGGATAAGAATATCATTTTCAACTCTAATTTTACATAATTTTAGAAATGAATATGGATAAAGAAAAGGGATCTATGATATTTACTTATAAATTAAGGTAATTTACAAATTAAAATGTCCGATTAACGGCTAGCTCCCAATTATGTAAGTGGGACTAAAATTACAGTCACCAAATGCGGGCATTCATTGTACTAGCACCTGACAGGCCTTATAAGCTTTTAATGTAATACACAACCTTAATTCGATTTGTTATATTTTTAGGGGAGGCGTACCTACTAAGACGAAAGAAACAGAGAAGAAAAAATACATGTCTTTACTCTGTCAGTCCAGTGTGTTAATAACATATTTTCATACTACCGCAAATATATCTTCTGTATATTAGGTTATTGCATCCAGAATATTCACCATCCATTTCTGAGAGCACCTTTCCCGAATACATTTATTAAAGTGACCCTCAGCTTAGAGGCCGCAAGATAAATCATAGTCAGGAAATGGCGGTTTTTCGCGGTTAACCGAATAAAAAGGAAAAACTTTTACAAATATAGGTAATAATATACAGATACATACATATTACATTTGTCTATGTACTGTTATAGGACTACTTTCATTTCTCAGTGAGAAAATTACCCGGACCATAGTCTTAAATTTAAATTAAAGCGAAACCCGCATAACGACTCCTACACCCATTATTTAAGTTGTTATATGTTAATTTATCTAAGTTACCTCTGTCAACATTGTGTATGCTTATGTTAGAGAGAGATATTCAATTGATTATGGTCCAGAAAAGGTCAAAGATAAGGAAAGTAACATTCAGTCGGTCTGTGGAATTTATGCGCAGGTCTGATATAACTTTAAACTGATCAATCAGTGCCTGACAACTTCACCATTCACATAAAACCTCTTCTGAATAAATAAATTTAAAAACAAATGAGCCTTAGTCAGATGATATTTAATAAATCAGGTAACGTAATAGCTTGCTCTTGTAAAAGATTTGTTCATTTGCTATAGTTCACTAAGCAAATGAGGAAAAGACTGATCGAATATTTCAGACAGACAGACTGACGACAGGTCGAACTGAAAAGAAAAAAATGATCAAATCGTATATTTTTTAGTTACATCTTAAATATAATTCATATACACAAACGACAAATTTATACTTCCATGGTAAGAAACATCATTAGTACGGACGTATACATTTACTAAAAGAAGCTACATGTCTCTCTTAATGGCACAAATTACGTTCATTAACATGAGAAAACTTTTATCTATACACGGAGCCGATTGTAATGTAACAAGAATCTCTACTCCAAGATCGATCCGAGCCCTATTTGCCGCGTTAAATAGAGGTGATTTAGTAACAAAATAAACGTGGAACAGGCAGAAGCATTAGGCCATTAGCGACGGGAACACTAAACGGTTTCGTGGATCTAAAAGTGCGCCTTCAGTGGAACAAAATCGCTGTCATTAGGGTAACGAGGGAAGGCCACTGACGCAGCGGTAGTGTCCGACGTAACTCTTTAGCTTGTAAGACCTAATGAACCGAGTTTTCCTTGGCAACTAGCCCACACTCGATCGAGCACCTCTGATTCCTGTTAGCTTTTTGTAGTTCCATTTTTATAACTTACCAGTAAATGTCCGCGGGTTTGCTCGCGTGATTATTTTTTATTACGTGATTCTAACTTTAAATATGACAAACTTCCATACAAACTTTCATCTTTTATTTAAACCCATTAGGCATAAAATTTCTATAATCTTCTCTCAGAGCTTACAACATTAAAAGCATCAGCCGTCAAAATTTCAAGTTCAAGTTTGTAGCCCCAGACTCTGCGTTGATGAACCAGTCAGTCAGCCAAGTAATGCATAGATTTCGCAAAGGTTAACCTGATTTAATTCTAACATTTTTATTTATTTAAACTAGGTCAGAAATAAATGCATTGCAATGTAAATATAAAATAAATATGATGAAACGTATGATATACGAAAGAATTTAGCGTCACCGCCCCTATTCACCCCGTAGGTGTCGTACGTGCCGACTATGGGAGCAAACTACGCAGTACAACAGCACTAGAAAGAGAAGAAAATCTTGAAAGAAACCTTATCCTAAGCCTGGCCTGGCCAGTGTGGTATAGTAGGCCAAAACCATCCTAAGGAGAGGCCTATGTCTAGCAGCGGACTATTAAAGGCTGTTGATGATAATGATGTTTCTTTTTGTGTAGTTGTGTGTAATTTTAGGTCTAATTATATATGGTATAAGATTTAAGGTTGTGTGTTATAAACTTTTAGTAAACTGATTTATTTAAAATAAGCTTTTTAATCAAGATTAAGATTTAACAGTAAGAAAAATTTGCTTGATACACCATCACCATAAATATGTTTTAATAAACCGAAAGTTTTGTCCATATAAGTTCAATGTCTATCATATGTAACATGTAACGATAAACAGATTTTGTAATGTCCATTAATAATTCGACGCGTAGATATAAACACCAGCGAAGCGGCACATAAAGTGGAAAGGCCTTAAATTTTATTTTTATATAAACATCACATTCAACTTCTGCGAATGCGACTTTTGTGTATAGCACATAATCATCATTTTTTTTAATTATAAAATTTTCGGTTGTTTTCTTTTTCCATCAAAAACAGCAACTTATTTGGAGAATTGGTTTAGGGAAGCGTGCGATACAAAGAAACATTTAGTTTTATGTATTTTATATGTATAATTATTAATAAAAATGTAATGATTAATAAAAAAATAATGTGTAGGTTAAACTTGAATAATGTATGTTAACCTTAGAAAAATCAAAGGCTAGTCTTATTTTCTTATACTCTGTTTTATTCTATTCGATATACCTAACGTTTTAAAATAAATATTATTAATCTTCTATTAGTGACTTTTCACGAGCGGTATATGAAGCGGTATATTGCGCCTTACAAATTTACAATATTTGAAACTTATCATGTTTATTTTATAATAATTTTGGAACAATTAAAGACACCATTTCAATATTATGTAATCTCTTTACAACTCAAAAAGTTAGGAAGAATCTTGGCAGGCAATTGGCATAGCATGCTGATGTTATTGGGAATATACAAGAAACATTCAAAGCTTTTTAAAATTGAGAATAAAAATGAATTTGCTCAGGTAATTTTACAATTGTAAACAAAATACAACCTCTGTTTAACATAGTAAACTGAATAATAATGTGTTAGAAATCTCGTAGCGACTAAATCCGTTTACGTATTGTTAATAGCCCTGTCCAGTGAAGAGTCGGTTGAACCGTGGGAACTGTAATAAGGGTCGTGGCGTAAAACTTTATTATTCGCTCCACCTCGGCCCACAAGGCGGGATGCGAAATGACTCTCATTCTCATTAACCTCGCCTTTGCTACCTCACTTTGTATCAATGCCAAATACTTTTTTTGTTGAACAATACCGTTGATGTATACAAAAAATCCTCGTAAGTAAATCGTACCTCGTACGTACTACTTACGAGGATTTTACGGAGTCGCATACATTATTATTTTACTTTTGAGGCAATGCTGATAATGTTTTTTTTTCTATTTAGTAAATAAATCTTTATGTTAAATAGTTATGCAAAGTATTAATTTTCTTCTTTTATTTTATCACTATTCATTTCTATTTACCTACAATTTTTAGATAAAAAAAAGGAAAATATGTTAATGGTTGTTTAGAAATAACATATTAAATCCTCAGAATTCAGTGTTTATATTATACTAACTTTGCATAAAACTAGTCTCCAAGAAATACCAACGGGCCCTGTTTCATCACATAGGTAGTTACACGGAGGTTCAATGTTGGTTCACCTTCATTTGATTTCTTAATCAATTCCCGAATTGAACGATTGTATAGACCAGCTAAACTACCATATTATTTATCTATCTCCATGGGTAATATCGGTTCTACGTTCTTACGTAAAACCGATATTTTACTAGTATTTTCCTTTAAAGATCTATCAAATTAAATGTAATTTAAAAAAAAAAACCTATCATTAACAGCCTGTAATAGTTCTCTGACATTGGCCTCTCCTTAAAAAGGAGGTTTTAGCCTACTATACCACACTGGCTAGATGGGTATAGGATTTTTTTTTCAAGTTTTCATTCGCTTTGCAGTGCTGTTGTCCTGCGTAGTTTGCGCCCTTAGTTGGCTCTTACGGCACCCATTGATGAATAGGGATGGTGACACTTCATATTCTTAATCCGTCACCATACGGGCACTATCTATCTCTTTATAAAACTATAAAGAGAATATAATATTAATAGGTTGCCACGGGTCGGGCATGGAGAACAAGTCTAACGAATAGATTTAACCCGCAGAACAAAACTTATTCTCAAGTCTGTAATTACACTTAACTTTTCGAACTACTTTATACATATATAAATTTGAAATTAATTTAGTGCCCTAGACAGAGATACAGTGAATCGGTCAATGGCAAACAGAAATCCTAAAGGTCGACACTTTAATCAATCACTCTACGTTCTCCTCCAAATGCACGTACACGCTCCTTGAAATATGAGAGCCTACCC